TGCCGGGTTCGATCCCTGTTGCGGGTCATGCGCTTTTCATTGTTTTCGACAGTGGTATCAAGAAAGCCGACCATCCAGAAAGCAATGGCAAAATACTGAACATAAATTTGCCTGCAAAAACCACACAACAGCCAGGGGCTGTTGGGGTTGGTTCTGCAACGTTCTGTAAAGGATACGCAACTAACCTTTAACCCTTCCTCAATAAAGGTTTGCTGCATTGAAAACTCTTTTTGTCTTAGCATTCTTAAGTGAGTTCCTGTTAACAAGGTTTTACTGTAGTTTTGTTTGTGTGGAGAAAAGTCTTACGTCTGCAGCATGTGGTTGTTTGAACTCTTTGAGTCCCAAGAAACGGATCATACGTTCATGGTTTCCTACCTAGTAGCCCAGTGAACGCATGATGCGCAGATTTTATGACTTTATTTACTACACCCTGGGCCTGTGATGCTAAACCCCCTGGGACTCAAAGAGTTAAGATGGTGTATGCTTTAAATCCTTCAGTCCCAATGAGTTTTTTTTCCTTTTAGTGCTATCAACTGGGTTTCATAGATTCTGTAACTCTTGCTCTACTTTCTTTAATTCAAAACAAACTTATTATCAGACTACAGTTGGCGCCAGTGGTGTTGAAACTTTGCACTGGTTGCTGAAGATGGGCATGGAGCTTTTATGGGAATGCCCAGAGAGCTATATCAGTTTTTAATTCATCACTCTTCTCATACTCTCAGTCAAGTGTTTGATGAAGACTGTGTGTTCTTCCTAATGCACTGTGTAAGCTGGTTTTATTTTTTCTGAGGTTGTTTTTATGCCATTACACCATCTTCTGCATTGTCTTCCCTTTGCTTTCTGCTAATTATATGTCATCACCATTGCTCTTGTTGTTTCATTGTTGCTGTTTTATTCCATTTTCCCTTCACAGTTGTTAGTTTAACTTATAGTACAGTTTTTTTCTCCAACACACTCTGCTATGTACAGTTGCAACTTCAATTCACCTGCCTGTTACAGTTGCTGCCCCAGTGTGAGTTCAAGCTCCATTTTTCGGGGAAAAGAATAGATCTGCTGCCCTCCTAACAAGAATGTCGTAAAGGAGGACTAATTGGGAGTGTTTCATTTGAAGTCAGAGTGCATCTGTTAGAGGGGAGAATCTAACAGTGCATTTTAAAAAAATCAGATCTGGGAAACAGATGTACATGCAAAACTCATGTTGTAGAACAAGACCAAAGTTCAGAAGCGGATGAGCAACTAGAACTTTCTGCTGGAGTTTACAGCTGGTGAATGCTAAGAAGAGAATGAAGATATAGTTGCTACCTGAATCCATTCTGTCCCCTATCATAGTCATGCGGCAGGCCCTTTGCAGAACGTTGCTCTCATTATGGTTTGCCTGAAAGAAACTGTCTCTTGCCTGCTCTCCCCCACCGGGCACTTCCATATTCAAGTTGTCACTTATATCTTGTGCCCATCTTCATCTTAATTAGCACCCCTATACCTCCTTCCTAGTACCATGCCTTCTGCTATTATTTTTCCAGTCCACAGTGACGCTTGATATGACCAAAATATTTCAGCTTCTGAGATAAGATGCTGTTTATTAGCCAGTCTTTCTTGATGTTCAGATCTTTTAAAATGTCCTGTGTAGTTATTATTCTGACTTTGTTTCATAGTGTAACTATAATCATTACCTCCAATCGCATTTCTTAGTTTATCCCACTGTCCCATATATTCTTACTTCAACTCTACTCAGTCCCATACATACTTAAACCCACTGTCTCATAATTGCATTAACCCAGGCTGTCCCCATCAGTTTTTTTTAATTTTATCTCCCATTGTCTCTGTGTGGGTTCCACACTTTTTGGCAAGGAATTGGGAGCGGAGGAGGAGGAGGGGGGGGGGGGAATTCCTACTTACTACCCCTTAACAAGCGTGTTGTGAAATGGGACTAAATCAGATGTGTTGGGGCCAAAAGGCGCAGATATCATAGCTTAGGTATAAACCCCAACCCAATGTGCCACCCATACTTTTCATGATGAATGCAGAAGAATCTTCATTAGAGCATATGTGTTCTATCAGCTGATGCTAAGGCACCCTATATTTATTGAATTTTTTGGGGGGTTAAATTATACTTGGCATTTGCGACTGAAGCTTTTCACTGGCAGGGCAACTGATGCCAGGGGCAAAACTGCCTTAGTTGTTTGTTATGTCATGCTTGGCATGCTACACTGTTACTACTGTTTGCTTTCCTGAGAGGCAGAGTAACATACTGGTGACATAATTCGTACCAAATCATTTTGTAACTGAATAAAATTGTTAGTTGTGTATCCTTTACAGGACAGTGCAAACCATCCCTGGCATTTGTTGTCTGTTTATGGCTTTACTCTCCAGTTTTCCCCCTGTGGGTTCCCATGGCCCCTTGGGGGGGGGGGGGGAATAATGTACTCACCGTGTCCTTAATAAGTGTGTCATAAAAGGCCGTTAATGAGGGATTTTCTTCTCTGAAGTTGGAGCGCATCAACCTGAGTGGCAAGGAACCAATACTATGCATACAAATAAGCCTGAGCCAGACCTGTCAGATGGATGTGTATGAAAAATTTAAGTTCAAGATGAAAGTCCACAGGTGGACAAACTACCAGAACTTTCTGTTATAGTTTTTAGCTGGTGAATGCTAAGAAGAAGAAGAAGCCTAGGCACTGGTCACGGTCAGTGGTTTTGCATTTTTCTTTTGTGCTGTCAACAGCTCATGATGATGTCACAATCAACCCAAAGTGATAACTGGACACATATTTTTATAGGCCAGTCGACATTCGTTGGGTAATGTGGCTAACCACTTGCTGGCCATCTTTGCTTCCCACAACATTACCTAGTACTCTTTTTAGTTTGGGTTACCTACAGGCCAAAGTCAGCTTTGAAAATTTTTTTTTATGCCTCAATTCAAACCCAAGACATTTGAGCACAACCATCTCACCACTACACTAATGCTACATATCCTGGAATTTTGGAATTATGGAACTCAGTTTATAAACTCTAAACCAAACATACTGAATTTAAAATAAAAGAATTAAGAAACGCTGAACTTATCACACTTAAATAAATGTGACAAAAGCTAGGCACAGAAGTTGGTGGGGAAAAATAAAGATAATGAAAATGAACAAGGTAAAAGATAACCTAATTCTTTGGGTAATTCTCCACTTGAAGTTGAGGAGGCATCTTAAATATCTTGGTCGCAGAGTTGGTAAATTTTGGAGAACAGATCATAATTATCTTTGCACAGTACCATGGTCATGACATAATTTTGGAAAATCACTCATTCCCCTCCCAGCTTTCCCACCTCTTGAATTTGTATGCCTGCTGTGACTTCGTTATAAATTTATCACCACATCTGTGCAGAATGACAAGCATCGCATCAGAGGTAATGGCTAGTTAGCATCATTTTGATATTTTCTCCAGATAATGCCTGTGTGTTGGAAAATTAACAGGCAGATAGATTGACTGGTTCTGTACCACTTGGTGACAAATTAATGCATGACAGATGTTGTTAGGACCCTTTGGGAACAAGTAAACAATGCAGAGGCACAATTAGATCTTCATGGCCTGAAGAGAATGTTGCAGTGAGAAGTAACCAGGGGAGCTGTCCTAAAGTTCAGCACACAGGGAAGGGGCAAAAGGAACAAAAAAATCAGACTGTTACTGGTACCATTGGAATTGCAACTCTGCACTTGCTGCCAAAGATAGGGGTGGAGCGCTATGGGAATTTCCTAAGTGCTGTGATGTAGGATCTTAACACAGAGCTCATAACTTGTCTTTGATATTTTCTATCCATTGTCGTGTTGGTCAACCCCTACCTCTTCTTCCAGGAACCATTCTTGTTCTCTCTAGACTGTTATGATGTTTAATATGACTGCAGTATTTCAGTTTAAAAGAACTGATACTGTTTATGAGCCACCTCCACGATATTCAAATCATGAAGATATCAGAATTGTCCTCTTCTTAATCTGTGATAAATCTTTCTCTAACATTTAAGGTCAAAAGCCCTGATTTTCTTCCTTAACGATTGCAAAATAATCCACAAGTTACAAACGTATATTGTTGCACAAAAGATATGAACTGATAGAGATATGAACAACAACTTATCTTCTTCTTCTTTGTTCACCAGCTGTAAGCTCCGATAGAAAGTCCCAGTTGTTCATCCATTTGGACTTTGGCTTTGTGCCAGGGCATCAGTACATCTGATTTACTGGCTTATCTGTGTGCAGTTGGTTGTTCCTTGCCACTTGGGCAGATGCACTCCAACTTGAAAGGAGGCCCCAAATATCAACTTCTACAACAAGTTTGCTGGGGAGGCAGTGGGTGTATTCTTGTTTTACCACAACGGGATCCCAGACCCACACGAGGAAGTTCCTACTGATAATTACTTTAACTCTTTCTAGTTTGATGAGTTTTACTTTCAAGCAGACAAGTTTAAATATGGAATGACATAAAGGAAGTCAACTGACATGAGATTCAGCTAGAATGAGTTTATGTAACAACTGTCTTTGACAGAAAATGGCCTGAGAGATAAACCAACCAGTGAATATAAAGTAATTAATTTTCTTGGTACTGAATGAGTTAAAATGAGAAAACAAAATATAAAAGATGCTTTTTCATAGTACTAGGATATCTATGGAGGTTAACATATTTTAAAACTTGTACCAATCTTGGAGCTTCAAGAAATAGAAGGGAAAAAAATCGAGAGAAATAGAACCGAGAAAAGATTTAAGTTGGGTTGTGAAAGTCCCATTTTCAAAGAAATTCCTGCCATGATGGAGATTTGAACTCATGACTAACAGGCTGGCAGGAAGATAATCTTTTTCTTCTTCTTCTTTGTTCACTGGCTGTGATTCCCGGCAGAGGGTCCCGCTAATTTGTCCATTTGGACTTTTGGCTTTTACCTGGACCTGAGTTTTGCATGTACATCTGTTTTACTGGCTTTTATGTTTGTCGTTTGTCAATAAAAGAGTTATCTATCCGTTCCACAGGTGTGTACTTCTCATCACGAGTGGAGCAGATAAAATTTGTTGACTTCTGTGGCAAGTACCGGCTTCCCTTATTGCAGTACCTGTGTTCTCCCAGCTGCTCTACAATATCACCCACTGTTTGTGTCAGCAGCGATAGTGAACTTGATGAGGAAGAGGCCGGAGCCAGAGAAAGAATGAGACGAGTCCTCCTTGGATGAAACAAATGGGAATCTATATAAATCATACTGTCCTTGGCATACTTTAGAAAACTATGCTATGGGGAATACTAATAAAATGTTATTATTTTTTGGAAGATAGGGTAAAATGTAAACGGTTCTGTTTGAAGATGTGATTACTTGCTGAGATTCACATCAGTCTTCCCAGTATTATAGAAGTTTAACCAAGGAAATGTGTCTGAGATTGGAGGGCATAAAGACATAAAGTACTTTTGCTGCATTTACTGAATAAGGAAAGCAAATTTTTTTTCACTTATTAAGCATATAAATTATTTACCTATAAATGGTGTTGGAGCATTATGATGTCAATTCTCCTGACTCAACCAGGCAATTCCTGTGCGTATAAACTCTTTCAACTCCAGACAGTAACTACTTTAACTCTCCCATTCCTGACTGTTACTGCTTTAACTCCTTCTACTTTTTTTAGAGGTACTACTCTGAACTCTTCAGATTCAGACAGTGAATGTGAATAAAATAGTTGCCTGTTACAGAAAGTGTAGAACCCTCTGAGGACAGAACTGAAGTTGTTCATTGGACAAGCAGTTATCTCACTCAGACTAATGAGCCCTTAAATTGAATGATGCCCTAGCAGAAAACAAACAAACTCCCATTAGGGCGTAAATTGCTTGTTTCACAGAGATTTGTCATGCGATAAAATTGCTTTTCAAATATATGATAATGTGCAAATTTATTTGTTTTGTTAAAAGCAGACGTGAGTTTTAGAATAAAATTCAGTGAACAGCATGGTAGTATACCTAGTTCCTTGCATTATACATCATTTGGTTACCAATTTGGCCAGAAAATTAGTACCAGGTTTTTTTAAATCTTTGGTAAACTAAACGATTTAAAAGTAGAACTGGTTTTATAGCAGATGCTGCCACTGTTAAAAGGTTAGACCTTCACAAATTCTTGGCCACAGATTATGGGATGAGGTTATCCTGACAGATGCCCGCTCAGTATTGCAATCAGTTCTAAACAATAAAGCAATTACAGTTCCACAAGTTTAAATTGATGCTAAATAAAATGGGTTAGCTAGCCAAGCAGATTATGCTCCAGTGAATTTAAGGCCACTGCATTATTAAAGGAAATGAAAGAGCAGACTATGTGGCAAAAATCGTAAGTAATACAGAACAGCAAGAGAGAGGATGCGCTTATGAGGAAAATAACCATGAGATCAAGGCAGCCGTTAGAACCCTTTGGAACACTTCCCATTCAGGACATGTCCCGAAGATCCAGTTAACCTCCTTACATTAAGAGAGAAAACAAAAAGGGGAAAAAAAGACTATATTTCAATTGCATGCTGGACACAACAGACTCTACAATACCAAATACTCCATGCCAAATTATGTACAATAAATTTGAGATTGGGTATTCATAACTTTGTCCATGTTTAAAGGCACCACAGAATACTGAATATGTGCTACAGACATGTCAGTGGTGAGATCCCAGGGTTGGCTGGTTGAACTTCCAATAGATACCATGCTGTATGGAACAGTGGAAGACATGTGTCACACCACCGACTTCATATAGGTCTGTAGCATCCTCATCTGCAAACCACTGGCAGGGAGAATGAAAAGAAGAAGATAAGATGGGGAGGTCGCCTCCCTTCCTCAATGCCTTTCCTTCCCCATCCCCTTTCCTTCCTAGAAAATTATGGAGAATGTCTGGTAGCCATATTTTTTTTTTAGATTGTCAACCCTAGAACTGATCTGGTCAAGAAACAATCCTGCCACTTGTGGAGATTGAACCTGGATCCCTGTCTCTGGAGACATGGGCATTAACCACTATGCCTTTGTGGCTCTGTAAACCCCCTTCAAACCTGGCCAAACTTGATGAACTATGCACAGAGGCCAGGTACATTTCATTCTGTTTTTATGTAGTACATCAAATAAATGCCCCAAACATACAAATAAATTGTACGCAGTTATGTCAGTGTATTTCATATTTTGAACTAATCATTACTGCTTTTATGATCATGTTTGTGTTTCAGTGTGTGATTATTTTTTTAATTGTGGCATGTGTGTTTGTGTGTTTTTTTAAATTTAAAATTTGACTAATTCTCAAATAACTTTTTTTTTAAGTGCTATATGATTAATCGTGTGTGTGCAGATATTTTTGTTTTTTAATTATCCTTATAGATAAATAAATCTATTAATTTCATTTTAATATTAATGAAAAATTTAGTTTAAGATAGTATTGCTTGTTTATTCCTGCTTTTTAGGCGGTTGTCATTTATTACTATATTTCATATGATTAAAGATGTTTGTTATTTGTCCTGTTCTATAGTTGACGTACCTTCATCATCATCCTGTTGTGTCACATAATGTTCAGTCTGTGTCCACACTTTTTCTATCCTGTGCTATCTTTTCTATATCATGGTCTAGCCTCCTTTGGCATTTCTCATTACTGTTTGTTTTAGGTCTGGTATTTATTTACAGAGAAGGTTTAGTTCTTGTTCTATGTTGCTTTCTCATATTCAAACTTCATCTCAACGAAAAAAGCTTTGACTTTGTAGTTATACATGGGCTGTATTTTTTTATGAATAAGTTTGCTTTCTTTGTGCTTACTCCATATAATCTCTCTCTCTCTCTCTCTCTCTCTCTCTCTCTCTCTCTCTCTCTCTCTCTCTCTCTCTCTCTCTCTCTCTCTCTCTCTCTCTCTCTCTCTCTCTCTCTCTCTCTCTCTCTCCTCTCTCTCTCTCTCTGCCTTTGTCTCTGTCTGTATTCTTTATATATCTTTACCTGTCACTTCCCCCCTCTCTCTCTCTCTCTCTCTCTCTCTCTCTCTCTCTCTCTCTCTCTCTCTCTCTCTCTCTCTCTCTCTCTCTCTCTCTCTCTCTCTCTCTGCCTTTGTCTCTGTCTGTATTATTTATATATGTTTACCTGTCACTTCCCCCCCCCCCTCTCTCTCTCTCTCTCTCTCTCTCTCTCTCTCTCTCTCTCTCTCTCTCTCTCTCTCTCCCTGCCTCCATCCTTCTATCCTTACTCCCTTTCTCCCATATAAACATGCAGACTTCCTTCTCCTTCTTCCTTTCACTGCTGTCTTCATTTGTCTGTATGTATGTATGTATGTATGTATGTCTGTCTGTATGTATGTATTTATACATATATTTGTTTATAATGTACAACCAGTGAGAGAGAGAGAGAGTTTTAAGGTTCATTGCAACCAGCCTTAATTATACAAATGGCATTGATTGATTAATTTGATTTTGATTGATGTGTATATACTCATGTGTACGTACTGTTATGTTTTTTCAGTGCAAACCAAATAATTTCTTGTTTTCATTGTCAGGACTCCTATATAAGTTGCCATATATCTTGTCAGAATGTTCTTTTGAATGACTGCCATATAGATCCATTTCTACAAAGGGTATTTGTTAGAAACGTGTGTCATTTATTTAATTAGTGGTGTTTGTTAGAAATGTTGTTCATTATTAGTCATATTTTATAAGGGTTAAAAACCACAAATTTCTTTACTATTGTCAGAAAAATAAGTTGTTGGTATGAAGGAAGTTTATAAGTGGGTAGTAGTAGTTTAAACAAAATAAAATTGAGATGTGTCAGTAATATTTTTATGGTTATTCTCTTTAGTTACATATCCCTGTGTGGGTTCCGGGGTCCCATTGTGGGGAAAACAAGAATAGACCCACTGCCTTCCCAAAAGCATGTCGTAAGAGTCGACTAATTGGGGAGCTTCCTTTGAAGTCGGAGTGCATCTGCCGGAGAGGCAAGGAACCGACAGTCTGTATTCAAGAGAATGAGATCTGTAAAACTGATGCACACGCAACACTCAGGTTCTGGAGCAGGACTGCAGTTCAGTAGTGGACGAGCAACCAGAACCTTCCGCCAGAGTTAACAGCTGGTGAATGCGAAGAAGAAGAAGAAGATATGTATTATTGTGTGTGTGTACATACACAAAACCTTAAAAAGGCATTATAAGTATATTACTCAAGGTCTACCTTATATATTTACTGTCATTTTTTTTTAAAATGGTGTTTATTAGAATGTCTTTGTTATAAATCATATTTAATAAAAATAACTGCCATAAATGTCCTTTACTCTTGTCAGAAATGTAAGTTATTGTTACAGAAGAGATTGATAAGGTTTTATGGGAACAGTTTGTTACAAATTAATGAAATGTCTTTGAGAAGATGCTTTTTAGTTACGTACAGATTGCATACGTGTGTGCACGCACGCATTAGTATGCATGTGTGCATCAAACTCATAAAAACTTTCAAAAATTGCATTTGTATAGTTTGTAAACACTTTTGATTGGTCTTTAAATATACATAGATAGATTCAAGAAATTGATAGTATTCGTCGAAGTTTATGTAACGTGTCTGTATATTTGTACAAATTTTATTTCTTTTTGATTAGTAGAACCACACTTTATCTGTTTACGTCCAGCATTTTTAGTTAATTGGGTGTCCCTTTAGTTGTTAGTTTCCCATTAATATTGATGATGAATTGATTCCAGTCGTCTCCTTTGATTCAGCTGGTTATTTGATTCAATTGTAAAAGCAGTAAAACACAGTTGTTTAAATGGTAACTTGCATTTTTATTACATGTAGGCATTATAATCATTCCTTCTTCCGGTGACTTCTGTGAAAGTCTGTATTGTAATTTACTTCCATATTGTATGGCTTTGTCTTTTTTAATGGAAAATATGAACATTTTTTTAGTTCAGTTGCTAAAAATATTATCTTTTCAGTTTGTTTTTTTAACTTGTTAACCACAGTATTATATCAGTATTTTTATTTCTGTATTGTGATTTTGAATGTGTATTTTTCTTTACCTTTTTTGTATAAACATATTTAGTTTGTAAACAATTTTCTTGTTTTTCAAATCTAAAAAAAAACATTAAATTCAAAATTTATTTCAACTCATTCCCGTATTAAAAACAATCACATATTTATGTACTGAATAAAATGATTAAAGAAACATGTGAGTAGTAGTACCAATATGTACCTAATGAAGAAAGGG